GCTGCGGCTCCGCAGCACGTCGTGAGGTTGAGGATGGGGGCAGCGAAGGGGCGACACAAGTGGCGAGGCGGCCTGTGCCGCGGCGGGGGGCGGCTCCTGGAGCAGCCCGGTACCGGGAGCCCCGGCCCGGGGCCGCAACCCCGCCTCTCGGGGTGACTTGGCGGCCCCAGGACGTCTGAAATGCGGTTCCAGCCACGTATAAAACTGCCGGGGACCGGGCACCTGAGCACAAGAGCTAAGCATCCCGCTTAGTTRTTCCTTAGTTATTTAGTGTGTGCCTTTGTTTCCTCTTACATAGTTATAAACTATGTAAAACGTGTAAAACTGTGTGAAATGTATGTCTAAACGGGATCGCTGGAAAGCAGCGTAACTCATTTTCAGTTATTTGGTTGGGACGCTGGTACTGTCAGCCCCGGGCCTGGAGATCTGGCTGTGGGCTCTCCTCGGGGCGTTCGTTTTCCCGAGCATCTGTAGGTCAAGGCTTTGGAATGGGAGGGAAGACAAAGTAGCTGCCGGGAATGTTTATGGAGAAAGAGCCAAATACTCCCCCTGCTATTTAAGCAAATAACAGTGCTGTTGGGAATGCTTGGTTTTGAAATCAAATAGAAAATTATTTTGCCCTTTTTTGGAGAAATGTAGCGTTGTAGGAGTTTGGYCTGGCTGGTGCAAGCGTGAACTGTGGTTTGTGTTGCTATAGCCCCATMGGTGTTGCAAACAAACGTATAGGCAATGCACCGTCCAGGGATTTACGCCTTTGCTGTGATCTAGAGATGTTATTTCCTCGTGTTGCCAAAGCAAACCCGATGGAGTTGAAGCTGAAGCGGGAGCTGAGGGTTAGCACTCCCCTGGATGTTGACCCAGTGTGTGAGCACCTGCGTGTTTTGCCTCCCGGCCCGTGTCTCTTTGCAGCGATCGGGGGCCCCAGCCATGGCTACAGACTGGCTGGGAAGCATCGTGTCCATTAACTGCGGAGAAAGCTTGGGAGTCTACCAAGGACGCGTGTCCGCCGTGGACCAGGTCAGCCAGACCATTTCCCTGACGCGGCCCTTCCATAATGGTGTGAAGTGCCTCGTGCCAGAAGTCACCTTCAGGTCAGCCTCTCTCTTTCTATTTCTKTTTTTTTCCTGTGTTTTTCACACAAAGTCTGTTTCTCTCCGTTTTATTAATTTTTTTCCCGCTCTTCCCCTAAAACTGGGCTCTTTGCCTTAATTATTTTTGCTGCTGCTAAGCATCCCTGGATGAAAAGTGCTTCTGCTCTCCTTGTGAGCACAGAGCTCAGTTAGAACTGGTGTGGCTCATGGCTGGAGGATATTTGTGGCTGAAGCCATATGTGTATTTGTGTACGTATCACCTGTGTGTACGTGCTCGCTGTTTGGCTTTCAGGTGCTTGAGGGGTTGGCGTATTCCCTTCAAGGTTTTTCCCCGGTGTATGTTTTCCAGCTGTGGTGGAAAAGAAGGCAGAGTGGTTGATCAATTAATGGTTTTGGCCTGAACGCAATTAAGTTTAATTAAATGCAATCTTTAATGCATATCCCTGTCTTTAGCACACTCTCTTCGCCATGTAGGCAGTTTTCAGTCCACTAAAAACTGTTTCCTTTGGTTGGTTAATCCCATTGTGTAGGGATGGTGCTAGYAGAGAAGGCAGAGACTGTTGAAAAGTTTGGAGCTAAGGAGCTGAATTCTGTGTAGCAGCTCTGTGGCTCTCCCAGTTTCCTCCCACCAGCTCCCGCTACCGTTGTGCTCGAGGGAATAGATAAGAGAGATTAGTCACAGGTTTTTTTCTTGTTACCTGAGCAACTTGCGTGTTACAGTGACTCAGGGACTTAACTCTTCTGCATTTTTAAATAAATTGGATACAGCTTTCAGGTTATCACTTTTTTCTCAAACTGGGATTTGAAGAGAGCGTGGGGGAGGAAGAAGGACATTCTTCCAGGAAATGCGTGGCAAGTCTTTGCTGCTTTTTACGCCACTGCTCGTTTTCTATTCCACTTACACAAGTGTCTATGAAGYCTAAAAGAGAAGGCCATACCTTCCAACGTATTCCTCCTAATCCATGGAAGAAGAGGACTTGGCTTCGCTTTGTCTCATAACCAGGACTGCTTTAGTTTCCTTTTCTGAGAAAATTGGAAGTGCCGTCCTTGAATGAGCGTGAACTGCGTCAATTAAAGAACGTCTTTTTGAAGAAATGGGTTACAAGAAGGAATAGCCTCAAGGCTGAGATTATTAATGTTACCTAGAAAGAAACAGCTATATTAAGGCAGAGTCTTGAAAAGACTCGTGCTAGGAACRATATGCTGAGCAAAATCCAGACCCAGTATAGAAATATTTGGGTTCTTATTCTGAAGATTCAGATAATTTCAACTGAATATTTTGATGTCTGTATGTTGTATCCTGTTTTGTTTGTTTGTTTTTTGTTTTAAAATCCACTTTTTCCCCTTTGTTTTGTTGATACAGGCATCAGAAAATATATTATAGAATATTGCATGTTTTCCTCTCAGGGATGATTTTTATTTTTTTTTTAAATAAAAGTAACCTGGATGTTAAATTCCAGAATATCTGGTTCTCTTTTCCTGTTTTTAGGGCAGGTGACATTACTGAGCTAAAAATCCTGGAGATCCCAGGGCCAGGGGACAGCAGACAATGTGGGGATCTACAGCAGACGGACCTGGGCATCCCTGGAGTTGGATGCCAAGTGGGTCCCAGCCAGAATGGCACTGGAAAAGTCCTAAAGAAGCCCATYTCCAGCAGTGCCCCGCAGAATATTCCAAGGAGAACAGACATGAAGAATCAGGATGTTATCATCTCTCCACAGCAGCAGTGCTCCAAGAGCTACATGGATCGACATGTAGAAGCATTGCCTCAGTCCAAAGGCTTCCGTCGTAGGCACAATTCCTGTGAGTATTTGTGCCCTCTTGCAATTTTTCTGTCCTTGCCTGAATTACCACTGCAACATCCACTCTTTTTCAGGAAAAAAAAAAAATCCAAATAATTCTCTTCTTGTTTGCTTTTGTACTTTCGTTGCCCTCTAAAGGTCTGGTGAAGAGAAGTTRAATGGTGATGATGAAGACATCACAAGCTCCTCTTAAGAGATGTGTAAGCGTGGGTCTTGCAGCTGCCTTGCACTTACCTTGTGATGTTTTATGATTTGATGATGGTGCAGTTTTCTCTGTAATTCTGTATGAATATTCATACGGTTTCAATGTTTGTGGGACTAAACTTATAAAGAAGTGTAGGTACTTGCACAGAATAGCTTAYAGGTGTGAAATGTTCTTTCTGGCTAAGCTCATGGGAAGTGGATTGTGTGACCACATTGTCTCTTTCTTTAAGTTTATTGTAAAATACATTGTTTCTCTAGACTTGCATATTCGTTATCCAAAGGCATTCAGGGTTTCTCTGATGCCATCACACTGATGCAGACCATAAATTCTCTCCTTATTTCTTCTTTGGGTAGATCTTTAAGCTAGAATTTTTGGAGGCAGATTCCCTCTGCTTTTCCTTCCTTTTGTTGCAAAGTGGAATACATTTGCCAGCCAGGCAAAGCCTGGAAAATCTARTCGTGGAGAGGTTAGTCTTTATTTGAGTAAATAACCAGAAGGTGAAAACATTTAACTTGTGTTATCTGTGCCTGCTCCTCTGTGGAGAAATAGCTGAAAACAGCCAAATCTGGTGAAGGACAGATTCGTTTTTAGCACTTAAATCACGCACTTGATTTTTAGCAGTTTCCTTGGCTTCTCAAGGGTGTTGGAAGCGGGGGGCCTGGTGTTTCGCGAGCATTTTACAGAATGTAGTCCTGAAATTAGTGTGGGCAACAAGCGGAGCAGGTTGTAGCAGATTGCTGTGATGTTGCTGTTTGCTCATAAAGGCTGGTGACATTTAGGTGCCTTGCARAGTTTCTGTGGCCGGGGTYCACCTGCTCACAGCAACTTGCAGGRTCTGCAGGTGAGGCTACGTATAGGGCTTTACTTCCAAACTGGCTTTGGTTGCAATCTCCAAATGCTTTTTCCTGTTACTAGTACTGCTGAGAAATCCCTTTAAAAAAAAAAAAAATCAGGTTTTGTTAGCTCTTTTTGATTCATGTAGGACAATAGGMATAAGAAAAAGACCCTTCCCTTTCCCTGCCGTGACATCCTGGTCTGATCTTGTTCCCTCATTTGACACCACTGACATCAGCTCAGGCTGGGATGAGAGCACCAGGAAGGTGAYGGAAATTTGGGAGATGATAGGGGAGAAGACGAGTGTGAGTGTAGGGTGGAGGGGAGCAACAAAAGCGATGAAGGAAGGGGTGGAGATCGTAAAGAGGCRGCTCTGTGGGATGTTTTGGGAGAGATGCAGGTGATGTTTGAGAGCTTTTAAGAATACGGGGTGTTGCCCTGGATAGGGCAGAGCCGAAGGCACTGGTGACTATGGATGACTGTAGTGACAAATCCTGTAGCGGATCATGAATGGGAGTGCATTAAAATGGTACCAGACACTGCTGAGGTCTAAGTCTTCCTTTGGCCTATCCCTAGCTCAGTCCCCTGGAGAGCCAACATGTTAGTGTTTTCTCTCTTGCCGTGTTTCTGTGGAGATTGGTGCCTATTTGCACAAAAGCAAGCGGTTCTTTACCTTGCTTTAACAAATCAAAACACCAACATTCTTAATTTTCCAAATTATTTTAAATAGTGAAGCGGAGAATGTTGCATTCCTGTGTAAGGTTTCCTTCTTCACTGGTATCAAGTGTTGCCAGATGTAGGACTGTGTAAGGCCAGTTATTGCTCTCAGACCTAAGGTCTTTTCTGATTGAAAATCATGTAGTTACTGGAGTCCGTTTTTCCTCTAAAAGGAAGTTAGAATCAAAATGCAAAATCTAAAGCCTTCCCCTTTAAAGCTTATGTAACTGTAAGCTTTTACAATATTGCAAGTAATTGCAGGTGGTGTTTGTTGTGCATTGTTGTTAAAAATACAAATTAGTGCACGCTAATGGGGGTGATGCAGAGGTGTAATCAGTGTAATGCCCAAGTCAGGCATCCGTTATTCTCTTTCTGTGCATAAAATCTTCCACCAGCTCTTGTRCTGTGCCAGAATTCAGCAGAGTTTTACAGTTATTTCCTTCCTCAAAGACTCCAGATTCTGCTGCTTTCCAGTTTTTTACTGTGCAGTCATTGAAGCATCAGATTCTACCCAGCCTRTTTCCATGGCTTATTTTCTCCTTCTTTTGAATGAAAGAAAAGGGGATGTGAGGAAGCAAGGTGTGCAAGGCCAATGAAACAGGGAGATCAAAGGCTGTATTTATGGGGAGAAGTTCCTGGACCTCTAGAACCTTCCCCACCCTTACAGCGACCTTCTTGGAAGGTTATGGATTTTTTTTTTTTTTTGATGTGTACTAATAGGGTAATTTACCAGAACTTGTTTTTAAAGGCTATTTTCTCAAGATGCTCGTTCAAATTTTTTAGTTTGTTTGATCATTGTCGGTGGTGTCACGTCCAGAAAATGTGAGCAGAAAGCCCATGCTTCTCAGGGACCCAAACCTCTTCGAGCCTCTCAGTGTTTTGCATCTTTGGGTTTAYGCACTGTGCAGCCCTTGCTATAGGGTGAGAGCTGTTTTTTTCTTTAATTTTTGGTGACATGACTCAATTACAGCTAGCTGTTTGAGCACTGGGTTTTAAATGTGTTTTCTAAAAACTTGTTTCCAGCCTTACAGGTTCATCTTCCCAAATGTCTAAAATAAGCCCAGCCTTGCTTAATTCTTGCTAGATTTAAAGTGTTGGAAGGTCTAGCTCGCTCAATGCCATTTTTTCAGCTCCTGGTAGTTCTGGACTGAGCAGTAAGTGCTTCACACCATCTCAACCCACAGGGAAGATGCATCGTTTTTACATAAGCCCAACAGCAGGTCAGTTTTTACGGATTTTGTTTAAAACCATTCAGGCAAGGCTGAGTGCTAGATGTGCGCTATTCTTAGCCCAAATTCCTCTTAGGGTAAATGAGGCAAAAAATTGAACTCTTCCCCTCTAAAATCTACATATTGTGAGAGCAGGTTCAAATGACGTTTGAATCTTCCGGGCATTGGGACAGAGGAGGTCCTGGCTCCGAGGAGACGGTGAATACAGGAGTCCAGGGCAAGAATGGGCCGCGGTGTCGTCTTGAACCTGAGTTACACAGTGCCTGGGAAGAGCGCAGCCGGGAGCTGACCTTCCGCTCCCGCTTAGCGTGCTAAGCCCGGGACAAAGTTCCCCCGTCGGAGCGATTGTGTGACAGAAATCAATAGAGCAACGAGCAGTGCGGGTTACACAAGCAGGGCCTCTGCGCCACRCTGGCGGGAAGAGCTCGATCCCCCGGGATCTCGCCGGGCACCTCGTGTTTGCTGTATATGGAATGGTTGGCTTAAAAATAACGCGGATCCCGGGAAGGATCGTTTCAGCTTTGCGGGAAGCGCGGTTCTGTGCAGCAAGGCTGCCGGCTCGATGCTGGGCCACGCACGGTGTGTGGAAAGGAGCCGCGTTCCTGGCGGGATAGGCGTGTGGAGGAGGCAGTGAAAGTCCATGCGAGTTGGAGTAGCAGCTTTTGGGAAATGGCCTGAGATTGTGGGAATGGCGAAATGGGAATTGTGTCGCGCTAGTGCCCTGCAGGGCAGCGTCTGCTCTCCCTGTCAGCCTGACCTCTCCACAGGCCTCCCCTTGCTCCGAGCTGCTGCCCCTCTTGCCTCTCTGGATGGTGCTGTTGAAGAGAGGTGCCAAATAACTGTGCCTCATGTGAGGCCTCTGCCCTGTTCCGTGCAAATTCCGTTCCCCGGTTGTCACAGGCTGTGAAGAGAGCTGGCTGTGAGGGTCAGCAGTATTTAGAGCTGGCAGCCCCCGGTGTGGATTAAAGTGCTGCCCGCCACAATGCCGGTGGGTCCTGTTTCCACGGGACGCGCTCTTGGCTCCCATTCCCAGCGGCCGCAGGGGAGCCGCGGAGCTTTCCAGCTATTGTTCTCCCTGCTTTTCCGAGGCAGCTTTTTATTCCGTCAGCGTCTGCGCTCCATTCCCATCAGCCCGGATCCRGCGCGTGGAGGTGGTGCTTCCCGCCGCCCCGGCGTTGGATTAAAGCGGAGCTGTTTGCGGAAGAAGCTGGCCGTGCGTGACGCTTCTGTCGGATAACGCGGGCAGTCCTGGCTCCAGCGGCTCTCCGTATTCCCACGAAACCAAGTGCCTTTTGCCCGTGCGTCCAGCGCAGCCTCTGGCTTGTCCATCTCAATTTTTAGAGGCCTTTGGGCATTGCTTTGGTGTGATGGGGCGCTGGTGACACCCACTTGTGCTGCTGTCCCCAACAGCCCTGGATGTGATTCCCTGACTGGGGGGGCAGTTGCTGGTGCCRTAGCAAGGTGCTCCCCGCTCCAAGAGCTTTCGGTAACAGTTCTCTAGGAAAAAACAGCTTGCAAACTGTCTTAAAATCGGGAGACATAAGGAAGAATAAAAAAGTGCTTTTCTAATTGAGCCTGGAGCCAAATACATAACCCCATTGAGTGGCATTTTAGGGTGTAAGTGTTTACCAGACCGATTCGCTTCTAGGTCCCAACCTCAGATTTTTGTCCCTAAAACGCAAGTCAGATGAATTCCAAGGGCATTGGATCTGTGTCCATGTGTTTTTAAATGCCCTGTGAAGGATGTGCTCTACCACTTTCTTGCCATGTGTGCCTTGCAGGCACTTATTATCTGAAGTCTGCATTAAAAAAAATAGTGCTCTCCTTTTACTGTTGTTTTTTGGGGAGGGTTCATTTTTTGGCAGGATTCATCTCAAAAGGATGCAGCAGGTGGTAGGAGCGTTGCAGGCTTAAGAGCTGATAGAGCATAGCTTCAGTTCTTCTGTTTTTCGTGGGACTAACTTATTTAGCAGGAGCATCTGCCTCTTGCTCTGACTGCTTTTGTTAGGTTCTTTGCAAGTTTGGAAGGTGCTGGACAAGCTTGTGTGTTGCCGGTCCAAGATGAGTTGGATCTTGTGGAATATAATGGTTATTCTCTCTTTTAAGCAGCATTTTGAACGCTGCCAAATGCACAAGCGGGATATAGTGCGCAGATTAATGCTGCGTGGACTTGAGTTTGTATAGATCAATGGGAGTAATAATCAAGCAAACAAGAGTCTTTGGTAACCTCTCAACTGCTTATGGTTCTGTATCGCTCCCCTTAGACTCCAGAAACGAGCTGGGAATGTGAAAACTGCAGTAAAACTTGCTTCAGAAAAAAGAGGCTTTTGCGGTTATTGAGTGGRGTGAAGCCTCCTGTTCTTAAATGTGGAAGATACTAAGTAGGTTAATGCAATAAAAATAATAAGGATTTCATATTGTTGTAAAATAGGTGCTCGTATTGATCCAAAAGGAAGTACTTTATATTAGAGGTGTTTTCAGTTTTCTCCTGGAGATCATTAAGAGGTGGCCAGCSTGTTACGGAGGAAAACTGCTATTTTAGTCTCTGAAATTTAGGGAAATTCCTAAGAAGGTCTTGGCACTTACGCCTGCATGAACATGAGCTAAGTACAAGAGAAATACTCTCCTAGGCCAATGCTGTCTTAGTGTCTTATCACTAATGTAACACTATCTTAAATAAAATATGGCAAGGAAAAATATTTATTTTGCTGCCGTGGTCAAGCTTGTTTTTTTAACCTTGCTAATGGAAAGTCCCTGAAAGTCTGTGTGTCTCCTGATGCTTTCTCTTCTGTCTTTGTGTTAACTTATCTTAGGATGAATAGCACCAAGGATGAGGTCTGCAGTATTTTTGGGAAGCAAGTATCCTATGAGTAAGAGTTCAGGAATGAGCTCTTCTCTCTTGCAAAACTTTGCAAAGAAAGTATATGAGCTAATGTGTCCTTTTCCGTTTCTGACCCATTTTTAATATGTCTTCYTTTCCACAGGGTCGTCCAGTAGCCGTCATCCAAACCAAGTGACTCCGAAGAAAAGCGGCCTGAAAAACGGGCAGATGAAGAGCAAAGACGACGAGTGCTTTGGGGACGACATCGATGAAATCCCCGACACGGATTTTGATTTTGAGGGGAACCTGGCCCTTTTTGACAAGGCAGCTGTGTTTGAGGAGATTGAAACTTATGAGCGGAGGAGCGGCACCCGTTCCCGAGGCACCCCGAGCGAAAAGCCGGCTCGCTATCGGCACGATGAGAACATCCTGGAATCGGAGCCCATCGACTACCGGAGGATAGTCGTACCCCACAACGCGCACAAGGAGTTCTGCACGGGTATGCACGGCCCTTCCTGACGCGGGGGGCCGTGTCTGCAGCTTTTCTGGGCACGCGTGCTGGGTGGTTTGCCCCAAAGGAGGGCAGGGGGGGGCTGTGTCTCGGCCTCGTGGGGTGTCAGCAGAGGCGTTCGGTTGCGTGCAGTTGGCCCTGCGTATTTTGTGCAGTCCTTTGGAGATCAAAGGTACGTTTTTCTCGCAGTAGGAAACAAAACTATAGTTTGGATTAAAAGAACAGAAGCTGAACAGGAGCCAGTCGATTCCTTGCTTTGATTGCAGTAGCATGAGGAGTCTGTGTGGCCCCACAGGGTCCTGGCCCAGCCTAGCAGGCCGTGTTGTAGTTGGTGCTCTCTTGGTAAGAGGCAGGAGATTCATGAGCTTCYGATGTCTGATTCTGCCTCGGTGATTGCGCTTTTAAAGAATTTTAACATCATTAGCGTAAAACAACCCCCGTAACTCTTCCAAAAGGTGATTCTAAACATCCACGTAAGCCTCCCTCCGTTTCTTTCCACCCCTCTTTCCAGTTTGTTCTCCTGTGTTGCTGCTTGGATGCAGGAGCCCCAAGAGCAGAACGAACAAGGTATAAACTTGTGCTTTAAGGGTGTCGTTGGTGAGCAAGTTGCATCTGCGCCTCCTTTACATTAGGAAACCTGCATTCCAGAAATAGTCATTGCCCATGCGAGAGTGGAGTCAAATTTTGGATCTTTTGCAGAAAAGATGCAGAGGTACCAAAATGACTGATACCCTGTGCCYTGGCCGCTCACCGAAGATGTGATCGAGTCCTTGTTGGGTCATTCTTTCCCTCCTCAGAAACTCTGTCCAGGGTGTGAAACGTTCCATCAAAGGCAGCTTATTCATTTGTAGCGATTTGCTGCCTTTCAATTTAAAAAATAAAAAAAAAAAAGCAATTTTGTAATGGTTCCACTATAGAGTGCTTAGTTTAATCTTATGTTTTTACTGTCCATATTCCTATTAATCAGGTCTGCTCTTGAATTAGCTAAAATCATCCTGGGTCACATCAGCACCTGTAGAGCTCAGGTCTTTGTTCCCAGTTGTCATCTGGGAAAGCAGAAGAAGGAGTGAACATGGAGTGAGATTTTTTTTTTTTTTCCTTTTAATTTGCTACTTGTCAGTTCATCTTCCAGTGCACTTATTTGAGGGGAGATGGAGCATCTGCGGGTGTCTAGTCTCTGAAACAAGAGCTAACCTACCAAAAGGTGGCAATTGGAGAAGCATGGCTTATACCGTAGGCTGGGAAGTGCAGGTTGGGGGAGGAAAACTCTGCCATGCAATAACAGGCAAACCTCAGCCTGTGGCTGAAGGTGAAACTGTGTTTGCAAAGTGCGATTGTCCTGGAAAATCCTGCCTCCTTGTGAAGTGGCTCTCTCTTAAGCTTGTGGATGCTCTGTCTCCGGAGCTGCAAGGTCTCCGTAGCCTCGCTGGTTCCTACTGGGTGGTTATTCTACCATATGGAATTCTGGATTCGTTTGCAGCCGTTGGGCCCCGCAAGAGGCAGGGTGTTGGCAGCTCATTGTCCTGGGAATGATAACGTCCCGCTGCTGTGCGTATCTGGATGCGTTCCCTGCCGAGGGGGACCTCCTTTGGGTCCCTCCAGGAAGTGTAGCTTTGCTTTGGAAATGTTAGTGAGTATCCAGCAAAAACTATTGTAAACTGTGGGAATTTGACAGCCGTTTCTGGTGTTCAGTGTAGCTCTTTTGGCCCTGGGCAGGAGGGATGTGTGTGCAGTGCTCTAGGCCTGCGATGACTGACTGAACACCTCTATTTTGGGTGTCTCCGATAGGTTTTTTTGCTTTCTATTTTGGAATTCTCTCTAGGGAGTTGTATCGGGCCTCCTTTCTTCTATATAGAAAAAGCACTTTCTAGTTCTGAAGAAACAGGCACTTCACAATTCTCCCCAGGTCTGGCTTTATAASTGTCTTAAGAGCTCTGACTAATGCTAATTGTTCCGTCTGCTCTAACGAGAACACGAACAGGATGATGCTGGTGATTGACATGAACTGGTATCTGTCTCTTGTCCTTGGGGGAGAGGAAAAGATCTGTATGAATCCTCTGGAGATATATGTGTGTGTGTATATATATTTATTTAAATGCTGTGTCCTGTTGAGGTAGGAAATACCACTGTTTGCCCAATTCTGGTTAAAGCCATCAAACTGATGATGTCAGTTCTCTGGAATAGTAATCTTGCAGGGCTTCTGGTTGTATTTTTTATTGCTTGCTGAAGTAAGTTGATTTTATGTAGAATGTATGCAAGGCTTGATAAAGAGCTCTTGGCAAAGCATCCTCCCGCACTAAAGGAATTTTATGGGGCCAGACCATTGACTGTGTTTACTGGCGTGTGTTTTACAAGGCGTGGAGCAGTGTGTGAATAGGTCTTTGAAGCCTTTGGTTCAAGTTCAGTACTTGAGGCTGGTAAGCATCCTGTATTCATATTTGAGTCCTTTTGCAGTCATGTTTTCGTGCTCTTAGAGGTGAACCTCATTATCCTCTCCAAAGATTTGCAGTTTGTCTCATTATTCCCAGAAAGCAATGTTTTGGAAAGGAGGCTACATGCAGCTCTCCTTGGCTACTGTTTGTTTTTGCAATATTTTGTGCACTTAATAATCCCTGAGATGTTCTGGGCTGCTTGGTCCTTTTCCAGTCGGTGCCGCCTCGGGTGCAGCAAACACGTGGTGCGTTTCCCTTTCTTGCTTTAGRCCTTGGCGTGTCCTCTAAATGCCTGTGAGACCAGAAGAGGTCAAGCCAGACTGAACACAGCGCCAGAGGTTGGCTTTTCTTGCTGCTGCCTGCTTTCCGTGTAGGAAAAAGGTGCTGTTCTTCCCGCAGGACTCCTAAGAATGGGGGAAAAAAGTCTAACAAAAGCAGTCTAAAGGATTCCGAGTTTGGCGCCACTTGGACTTGGCTCGTGCGTTGAAAGCTGTTCCCCTCTGCAGGATGTTTTGGGATTTACCCCAGAGCAGTTCAGCCAGCTTGGCTGGAGAGGTTCTTCTGGGATGAAGGTGAGGGGGAGTGAGTGTGAGAGAGGCAAAGTGGTGCAGACTGCCTGAGACGTGGCCTGCAGCTGGAGGGAAAGAATTCTAGCAGAGAAAGGGTGGAGGGGCTGAGCATCTCTGCCAGACAAGACGGAAAACACGGAGGCAACGGAGTTTCCCAAACAGTGGTTTTTGGTCGTGGCTGACTTGGCTTCATGCTTGGGGATCCCTGTGGGAATTACTCCGAAATACATAGTCTTAATAGTTGCCTGTTGTTGATTCATCTCTGTTGCCCGTTACAGGATACTTGAAGAGGAACCTGCAAGTGTGCAACAAACATCTCTCCCCCTAGGTAGCTGCTGGTTTGTCCTTTTTAGAGGTGCAAACTGGCTTTTCCCATTTCCAAAGCCATTTGTCGTGGCCTAGATCTGTCTCCCTGCCTTCCCTTGACTATCGACATTGAAACTACTTGCGCTTAAATAACGGTGTTTTGCGCCAGGTCCTTTCGCCTCAGTCCCGGAGTGAATGTTTTGCAGGTATGTTAGAGCCTGGGGAGGTTTGCAGCAGGCTGCAGTGCCTCAGCTCGGCGGCAGCAGCTCCTACAAGCTCCGTAACCTGCTGTTCCTTCTCTTCTGTCCCCTTGAGCTGTTAGCACACAGCACACGTCGCGTGTTCTGGTTCATGCTGATGGATCTGGAAGAAAATCTCTTGTGTGGGGGACTGAGGCCATCTAGCCGAGGGAGAAATCTCGCCTGTTGGGCTGCCCTGCGTGGCACAAGGGGGCTGCAGGAGGCTGGTGTGTGCCCGAGCAGCCTGGCTCCCTGAGTGGCKTCCCTTCTAGCTGGTGCTGTTGAAGAGCACACGCTGCTTGCATCCCTGGCTCTTCTGGAAAACGGGTGGGGTTTCGGGCTGGGAGGCACTATAGGTGTTCAAGATGGTCTGACTTGTGAGCACATCTGTTTGCCAAGAGAAAGCAGGACTTGCCTGTTCTGGGTAGATGGTGCAGGGTATCCTTTTCTCTAATTTTAGTACCCTTCTTTCTTGTGCTGTGTCCTCGACTGGCGTTTCTGCTCTCTGTGGTTTCTGCCCAGGTGACTGCCTTGCAGTGACTCCGTGTATTGAATGTGTGAAGTGATTCTGAAGGTTTGGAGTGTGAACGAAGCTCCCCCTGTCTAACAGCAGGAGAGAACAAAGCGGTCATGGGGCAACGTTTTCGTTCTTCCCRCTCTTCTCTGCTGGCGTGTGGATCGTGCGCAGCACTGGGAGAGAGCAGTGCTGCTGCGTAAGCCAGAGCTCCTGCACAGTTGATCTGAAGTGAAAACAGCTACAATAAGAACCTAGCTCTTCAGGTGGTGGAGAGAATGGTTCATGTTTGGAGTAACGTATGGGGCAGGTTTTATTTATATACGTCCCTGAGTGTACAGGCAAGTGGCTCCAGCTTCACAGGCAGCAAAAGGCAGCGGGCAAACTGGGAGCATCCCAGCTGCCTACAGCAGGCGAAGATGGTGCCCACTCCATGGAACCGCTTCTTGGAAGGACCCCGAGCTGTTGCACCTACCACCTGGGTGTTACTTAGTGCTAAAGGGCAGGGACTAGTATCTCTRTGGTCATTCCTCTTTTTCCATGGGCCTCTTTTAGCAGCCGGAGAGCAAGCGCATGGGCTGAGCCGTGCAAGGCACCAGCCTCCTCCGCCGACAGCGTGGGAGACTCCACACTTCTGGAGYGACGTTGTTCTGGGCTTTAGGGTGGAAACCCCTCTCTTCCTCTCATGCTGAACTCTGGAGCGTTACCCCAGCCCTCCCGCTGCCTCCCCGCCTTGCCCGGGCAGTCGGACACGAGCTGGGAACGTGCTGCCGGCTGCAGCGCCCGGGCAGGGTGTGCTCCCCGACCCGCTATGCTCTCGCTTAATCAGATTGCAGCAGTGCCCTGCGTGTCACAGAGCTGTTTAGTTCCTATCTGCCTTTTTTTTTTTCTCCAGGCAGCTGTAAAATGCATTTATTTAATATTAAAAGAACCGTAGCTAATTTACTTTACTGCCTTCATTACCAAACAATAGGGGTGCCCTGTCCAACGCAGGCAGAATAGAAGCTGGCAGCAGTTCAGTTCTGGTATTGTTTGCGGCGTCGGCGGCCGCGCTCTGCCAGGGTTTATTTAACTCCCTGGCTTTGATAAGGCAGCCCGACTGGTTGGACCTTGCGTGAGTGCCGAGCGGGGAAGCGCGCTTGGCATCTGAGCCCGTTCCCGAGGGGGAGCAATTAGGACAAAGTGTAGCGCAGGCTCGGCCTGCTGCTCTGCAGGGTCCTCTTGGGCTTCCCGCGCCTCTCCGTGACCCCCTTTGCATGGAGAGCGGCCTGTGGCGGGGCCAGATTCACCTGGTGAAGCTGGTGCTTTTCAGTGTCCCCATCTGAGGGTGATGGTCCCSGTCTTGGTGGCTAGAGAGAACGTGTTACTAGTAGCCACGCTAAGTACGTGTCACAATATGGGTTGGCTGCTGCAAGGAGGAGCTTGAGGAGTTCGTGCGGAGTTTAGGGTGTTAAGTCACGGCCCTGCAGCGCAGACTGAGCCAAGCTTGCTGTTGGGAAGCCCACGTTTGATGTTAGGGGCTCGTGCCGGCCTGGTGCCGTCCTGACCTCGTGTGGCCGCTTGCACGCCCTTCCTCGCGCTTGGAAAAGGAGCCTTGTTGGAGCAGCAGTGCCAGGAGCGAGGCAGCGCTGGGGCTTGCGTGACTCGGGAGGCGGCGAGGGGCGCGAGCGCGGCCAGGTGCGTGACTGCTGTGACGAGCTGAGGATTATTAGCGGCTTATGGCTCTGGACGTTCAGTGGCTGCTATCGGGAGTCCTAACCGACTTTGATAACGCGCGTGCTTGCACGTGTGCTGCGTGTAATAAAAGGTTATGAGCAGAGGTAGCTTAATCAGCTGTTAACATGCAAGGGCGAATGTGCGAACCTGCCGAGTTGCCCTGTGTCCCTAGGGGACGAGCGGGCGGGTTCGGAGCCTGGCTCAGGGGGACGTGGGAGGGCCTCGAGGCCCGCCTGCCCCGCGGGGTTGCTCGGCCCTGGGAGGCTGCGCAAAACCCCCCGTTGGGGCAGCGGCCGGAGGCTCGCGGCTGCCTCCCCACGGTTAAAACACGCTGCTTTTCTCCTTTGAACGTCACCCTGGTTGCACCCGAGTCGCGTTGGGCTTTTCTGCAAGAGAGCCTGAGCTGGCGAGCGACGAGATAAGCTCCTGGATAAGTTCTACAGCAGAACTTATCCAGGGATGTCTTACTGCTCTGTCCTTGGACACTTTTTCCTGCTTCTTTGTTCTGGCGCCTTGAATGAATAGGTGCTCTTGGTTCCCGGACCTTCCTGGTTGCTGTGACTCCCCCTGCAGAAGCTGCCRCTTTGTTGTGGCAAGCGGTCCTGTGCGTTGATTCTTGGAATTTGTGGAAGAAATGTTTAAAGGATAGGCCACTCCTAGGGATGCTTAAAGAAAAGCTTTTTAGTCTTGTTTTTCTTTTGCCTGCTGGTGTGCAGCTTCTCCATGGAAGCGAGCAGGAGTGAGAGCGGTGCTGACGAGGACGCTGCTCTCAGCCCTTAGCAAACCCCGTCTCATTTGTTTTATGCTGATCTGTGCGATGAGGCGTTTCCTGCCTTACAAAGTGGCTGCAAGAAGTGGCTGAGAACCCGCGGCTTTCTACCTGCTTTATTTTATATATACTTTTAGAATGGTGATGGGTGACTTGGGGAATGGGGAGCTTGGAGCTGTGGGGCGCCTGGAGAAGCAGCTGGTCCCTTTCCCTGAGAGCAAGCAGAAAGTCCCTGAGCTTCCTGGTGGGAATATCTGGTGCAGAGCTGCTTGTGTGACTTACGCTGAGCTGCAAGGAGAGGGCTCCAGCACGTTTGCCCTGAAGACCATTGGGAATGAGCTTGGCAGTCAGGCTTGTGCAGGTCCAAACCAGGTCTCTGTAGGAGCCGCTCTGCGCAGGATCTGTAGCTTCCCGAAACCTGCAGCCGTTTCAGCAGCGTCACCCCCACAGTGTAGCTGGGCAGCTTGGATAGGGCACGAGGAGGAACGGGGGAAAATTCTTCCACAGCTTAGTTCCTGGCTGAGCTGGCTTTGGTAGGAGCCCTTCTGAGCTTGCAGCAATAACAGTGTCCGAAATACCGCTTTGGGGAGGCTGGGGATGCTCTCCTGCCTGAACAAGGCAAAGCTCTTCCCAAATAGGGATTCCCAGGCTCTTCCCAAATGCCTGGGGACGAGGAGGGCTTCAGTGGAGCAGCTGTTGCCGTGTCCCATGGGTGTCACTTGTCTGKGGCGAGCAGCGCGGGTGCCTCCGGGGCCTCGGTTCGGATCCGTGCAGCCTCTCCTGGAGGGAATGTGGCCTGTTGGGAGCACAGCTGCTGCCTCCATCTCCACAGCTAAATGGGCCCTTTGTGGTGGCAGCTGAAACCTTTCATTGTGGCCATTTACAGGGGCTGTTTTACGTCTTTATATATCTTTACAATCTTAGCAGACTAGTAGTGTTTGGGGGGAAGAAAAAAAAAAGATTTTATATATTTTATTTATAATTTATCTTTTATATATTTTATAAATATATTTATAATTTATCTTTTTTCCTGCCTTGCTCCCTGCCCTCTCTTGGGTTCCCAGACTCCGGGCTGGTGGTGCCCAGCGTGTCGTACGAGCTGCACAAGAAGCTGCTGTCGGTGGCCGAGAAGCACGGGCTGACGCTGGAGCGGCGGCTGGAGATGACGGGCGTGTGCGCCAGCCAGATGGCCCTGAGCCTCCTGGGGGGGCCCAACAGGTAACGCTGCCCCTCCGCGGGGACTTGTCCCCCTCGAGCTCCGTGCAGGGCTGGCCCCGTCGTCCCGGGCTGCGGGTAAATGCAGGCGGAGGCAGCAATGGGGGTGAAGCTCAAGCTGCCTGTGCGCCCTGGGCTTCGTTCCCTGTGCCATCCCCTTTCCAAGCAACGATGCGGACGAGCGCAGGCTCCCGACGCGGCACAAAACCTTGCAGGAGGTTTCCACCTTCTCACTGCATTTTTTTGCCTTCTTTTTTCTTTAGCTGCCCTTTGGAAGGGGTTGCTGAAGGGGCTGCCTTAGAACACGGACTTATTCAGGGCTGCTGCTCCCCTTCTGTGCCACAGAAGCGGAAATGTCTCCCGGGTCAGAGACAACAGAGCCTGTGTCTCTGCTTGCTGGGAAACAGCTTTGCACAGACGAAACTCCAGGCACATAAAAAATCACTTGAGAGTTTCTGTGAGCTGGTCCTTGTGTAATGAAATAATAACCCCCAAACAAAGCAGCCCTAGACCTCTTCTTGGTCTTTTTCCTGCAGTTTGATGGTGCTGATAAGAGCAGGAGTCAGCAATAAAAGCAGATGTGCTGTCTGCCCCTCCAGAGATCATTAACTGTAAGCTCTTAGCCATTTCCACTTAAATGGGGAATGAAGGGCACAGTTCTGTAGAGGCCTCGGTGCATTTACTCCTGTTTGCGTGAGTAAATGCACAGCCTTTGCTTTCCGCGTGCGCTTGGCACGCTCAACGCGAGCAGCCACGTGTTCCCCCCACGTCCTTCGATGCTCCAGGTGACTTGTCCTTTAAATGGCAGGTAGTGCTCGCCCGTCTCTGTGTGCTTGACCTCTAATGTTTCCCCCGCAGTCCTGGCCCTGCGCGCTKCCTGAAAGGGGGAAGCAACGTTGGGCCGGGCTGCACTGGCCCTGCTGCCTGCAAAACCATCCTTAATGGCTTGCAGGTTGTTTAAATCAAAATAAATCAACTTTGGTTTTGCAGTTGGGAGCACTTAGGGAGAGGAATTCTAAGAATTTCAGTAAAGCCACTGCACTTTGCAGCCCCGTCCTTCCAAAATCACAGCGAAGGGGCTGGGGAAAACCCTCCTACAAGTGAAGCTGCGCAGAGCTGGGCTTTGCCGCGTGCCGTAAGAGCACCCCTGCTCTGCAAGATGATCGCAGCTGCAGAGATGCTTGAGAGAGCCTGTGAGCAGGGCTCACCTTAGCAGCCCTGTGTTTAGTACAGAGGGACACGGTGCCTTTCCCTGGAGATGTTGGGAGCTTTGCGAAGCCGCGGCCGGCAGGCGTTTTACTGCCATTTCTCTTACAGGATCATGGTCGGAGGGGCTTGAGTTTATTAACGAGCCCCTTCTGTGTTTCTGGCCTGCAGGCTGAACCCCAAGAATGTGCACCAGCGGCCCACGGTAGCCCTGCTCTGCGGCCCCCACGTGAAGGGCGCTCAGGGCATCAGCTGCGGGCGCCACCTCTCCAATCACGACGTCCACGTCATCCTTTTCCTGCCGAACTTTGTGAAGATGCTGGAATCCATCACCAACGAGCTGAACCTCTTCAGCAAGACSGAGGGCCAGCAGGTGTCCAGTGTCAAAGGTGAGCGAGGAGCGGGTGTCGTGGGCTGCGGAGACCTGTGCCGCTGGGGTCTCCAGTGCCCGTCAGGCCACGGGCACCATCTAGTGGCAATGCAGCAGGAACAGGGACCGCTCCTTCCTGCTCGGGCGTTTCCAGCAGGAATAAATTCTGCTGTGTGGGCCTGAGACCAGCTGTTTCCTAGCTGCCTTCTGGGTCCAACATATCAAGGCTCGAGGGAAACGAACATTTCAAACCAAGGCAACTTCCTCGCTGTGCTGCTCTCGGCAGTGGTCACAATTCCAGTATTGGGGAATATCCTAGTGCGTGCTGAATGTAGCAGGGCTGGCCTTGCCTTGCCGGTGTTTGTCCTTGCCACTGGCGTTAGTGTCGAGAAAGAATTCCTTTAACCTTCCCGGGAGAAGCCCACCTGGGAATTAGGGCACCGCGCAGTGTTTTGTTTGTGGGGACAGGCGGGCCCCGCTGTGCRGGCAGTGCCCCTTGTCCCTTACAAGAGAGGGGTCCTGGCAGCGCGGATTTCACCATGGCCCGTGTGGACACGGTACAGTGGCCCTTTGGGTTATTTTTTTAATGGGGCAGCGAGTGCTGCCGCTCGGCACGGCCGGGCAGCTTGGGCAGCCTGTTGGGCCACAGGGCTGCCCGTCTGCGGGCCGCTCAACGAGCCTGTTGCCTCTGCGGATGCTCCCCGGCACGTCGAAGAGCTGTTGAATGTCGGCGTCGTCTTTTCCTGCTGAAGGCTGGCAGGAGCCGTGCGCAAGGCCAGGCTGCTCGTGTGGCCGCAGCGGGTGCCAGAGGTGGGAATTGGAGTGGGAAAACCTCTGCCCGTGTGAGGAGAGAAGGGTCTGATCCGCACTGGTCTGGTGCCGAACGCTCACCCTGTCTGTGCTTCTTCCAGATCTCCCCGATACCCCTGTTGATCTCGTGATCAACTGCCTGGATTGTCATGAAAATGCCTTTCTGAGGGATCAGCCTTGGTACAAAGCAACCGTGGACTGGGCGAACCAGAACCGGGCACCCGTCCTCAGCATAGACCCTCCCGTAAGCGAAGTGGAGCAGGGCATCGATGCCAAGTGGTCGCTGGCCTTGGGCCTGCCCCTGCCGCTGGGCGAGCGGGCCGGGCGTGTGTACCTCTGTGACATTGGCATTCCCCAGAAGGTCTTCCAGGAGGTGGGAATCAACTACCACTCGCCCTTCGGCTGCAAATTCGTCATTCCCCTGCACTCCACCTAGAGGCCGCCTGGCTCCCAAGGGAGAGGAGAGGAGGAGCGGTTGGTTCTGTCGAATAAGCTGTCCTGGAGACCCCAGCTAGTTAAAAGTGGTGACGCCTTAAGGATGTGAAGTTCTGGGGAGTTTCCTTCAAAGAGATAACGGTAACAATTAAAAAAAAAAAAAAAAAAAAAGAAAAAAAAATCATAAAATGAAACAAAAACAAAAAAGAGGAGGAGGAAGCGACTGTTCCTGCAAAGCTATTTTTGTTCTCTTGTGCCAGTGTATGGAGGAAGGTGCAGGAGGAGGGTACCTGTCCCTGGCACAAGCGGCTCCAGCCCCGGCTGGAGGTTGTGTGAGGAGAGGGCTCTGCGGGGGAGGCTCTGAGGCACGTGACAGAGGTGCTGGAGACATGCGGCCTGGCCGGGCCACAGCCTCTGCTCTGTCCCCTTCCCTCTCCCCTGTTCCAAGTTCATGGAGGTGCTCAGGCTGCCCTGGCTGGAGCCACAGAGTGGAGCTGCCCCTGCCCGGCCTGGCTCGCCCGGCCCTGGGCTCTTCTCCTGGTTTGTTTGGAAGATGCACCCCTGGTCTGCAGGGGCTGCCTTGGGATTTTCTTTCTTTCTTTCCGGCCCGGCGCAGGATGGAGCAGGGGCCGCGGGGCGGTGGTGCCGTCCCGCTCCCCCGCGCAGTGCTGGACGGCTGCTGTAAGCGCGAGGACAYGCAGCCTTGCTCAGGCTGGGCTTGGGAAGCCCGGGAAGGGGTCTGTGGGTGGCAGCCGTGTGCGGGGAGAAGCAGCTGGGCGAAGGTCTCGGGCCCTCGGCTTTCCCTGCTCTCGCTGGCAGCTCGGGCCCTGCAGGGAAACCTCTTCCCACCCTCGGTGAGACCTCCACGCCAGGCGGGGACAGGGACGAGTGGCCCCAGTGCCGTTCATTTTTCAGCATTGGATGACTGGTATAAGCGAGAGGGAAGAACGAACACTGCTGTTTTCTATCCCTCGGGGCCTGCCGGAGGCCGAGGATCCCGTGGGTCTGCACTGCCCGTGGGCACCCACTTGTCTGTGGGGCRGGAGCGGGTTTGGGGCATCCACAGGGACAGGGGCCCCGCTGGCCCCAGGCGCTAAGCGGGCACCTGCAGGGCCCAGGAACCCTCTTGTGGTGGTTGGGGAGGATTTCGGGGCTTCCAAATGGTGCCTTTTCTCAGGGTCGCGGATTTCTGTGGAAGCCCCAGCTGGAGCGCCATGAGCAGCGGCCGCTGCTGCCGGAGGCCGAGCGTAGCGGAGGGGGTGAACCTTCCCTGGCCCTAGAAACGAGACAGGCGAGTAATTAATTGAGCCTGATGGGGGGGAATTGCACCCCCCTGCTCTTCTCTAGTACCACTGCTGTGTCCCTGGGAGCAGCTGGGATGCAGGGCTAGGAGGTCCCGGCTTCAGCCCGGCCACCCACGTGCAACTTGCCCAATCTACCTCTGCCGGAGCAAGGGCCCTGCTCGCTCTCTGCGAGCTTCTTGCCCAGCTGAGGCTGYGACTACTGACCCGGGGCCCTAGGCTGCTGCCCCAGGGCCCTGGTGCTGGCGGGAGCCACCTGCCAATGCCAGGCACTGTCCGGAGGCAGCTGCAAGGACCCCAGCCCCTATTCCTCAGGTGCTCCCTGCTGCAGCCTGGACCGTCCTGACCGTGATCAAGTGGTTCTGACTCGCGCCCTGGTGCTGAGGGGCACCGAGGGCGGTGGTTATTTAAACTCCAGCTGCAAGGCTGCTCTCTGCCTGCCCCCTCTCACCGGAGTTCAGTGTGGGCAAATCTTCACAGGCCGGGGGGCAGCAGCTGCGTTAACCGGGGTGCAAGTTGTAGCAATGCTAGTTGCTGGCTGCTGAGTTTCCCCTTCCTTGCTTGCAAAGGTGCCCTTTCCCCACCGTTCCCTCCCTCCAGGCCGTGAGCGCTCCTGGCTCAGGCTGCCGCTCCGCGGCTCGCGCAGGGAAGCGGCCACGGCCACGGGCCCCTCGTGGGGCAGCCGCTGCTGCAGGGCTGCCGGCCGGGCCCTCGGTGCCCAGGGCGCTGCCCTGCAGGGCCCAGCCCCACAGCGAGATGGGTGCCAGAGTTTAAGGCTGAACCAAGGGGGCAGTTTACACAGGGGTTTGTGGGGCAGGAGCATCTCTGAGGAGGGGGATGTTTCTGATGCTTATGGTACTGCAGGGAGCCCCAAGTTGCACTCTGCGCCTTTACAGCCGAGAGGAGATGGGGGCACTTGCCTGTGCTGCCCCTCTCAGACAAAAGCTGAGGAAGGAAACAGGGTCCTGACCCCTAGGGAATGCAGCCCAGGTGCAAGACACCTGCTGGAACACTGCAAGACCAAGGATGGGCTCTGGGCCTCTTGTCTCCCCCTTCTCCCTCATGCCCAAGTTAATGTAAAGAATGCAACACTTTTTTAAATCCATGTCTGAGATGATAGTTTCTTCCACAACTTTCACCATCATAGGAAGTGGCCCCTGTGCTGCTCTGGKCACTGACACGTGAAGATCACTGCACTGTGTAACTGCTTGATACTCCAGCTGTGACCTTCTCTTTGTAATGACTAATTCCCGCCGCTGCTGGGGAAGGCCCTGAAATAAAGTGCAACGATTCCTGTGTGCTATGTCTGTGCAACTCATCCTTCGTCTGCTACTGGTCCAGAGCCTCATCCCACCTCCAGACCAGCCTTTTTTTCCATGCAGGGACAGAGAACAGGGAGAGTGCCTTTGTGCCCTCCTGCCTTTGTGCCCTCCTGCCTTTGTGCCCTCCCCTGAAACCAGGATCACAGCTGCTTATTTGCCTCATTGTTTTTCCACAACTCCTCTTTCTTTCCTTGTGGCAAAGAGGAGGCGGCGGCTGGGAGCCAAGCAACCCTCTGCCTGCCTGCAAGRGAAGTATCAAACAATAAGAAACACTTTTATTTTTAACTTTACAACGTATAAATAGACAAATCTGTGCTTTGCAATGTAGCTTTTCTTCCCCTCCCCTCTGCAGGGTCCATGTCACAGTGGGCAGCAGTAGCTCTGAGCGAGAGGGGGGGGYCAAGAGGCCTGACTCCCCCCCCATTCTCATGTATCCACGTGTACGTGGGCGGTATATGCACGTCCAGCAGGCAGGTGCCCGCCCCGCCGTCATCTGCYGAGGTCGCGGCTGGCGCTGCGGCCGCACAACATCCTCTCCTCGGCAGAGAGCCCGGCAAAGAAGGGATGCAGGAGCGCCTCGGAGAACGTGATGCGGCGGCAAGGGTCAAATTCCAGCATCCTCCTCATGAGGTCGAAGAGCTGCGCGTGCTCCAGCGAGTCGTGCAGCATGTACGTCTGAGGGAGAACGGGGCACAGATGCAACACGGCCGCAAGACAGGGTCTTGCATCACCCCCCGTCCCCMAAGCAGGGGCGTTCCAGGGCTGCACTTTGGCTGCCAAGAAAAACTACTCGTCCCCCACTCCTTCGGTTACCAATAGGAGGTGATTCATGCTGCAGGAAATGSCACTTTGTCGCAGCACAGTGAACTTAACAGCGAGACAGCAGCCTAAGGAGGGGACTGCAGAGCAGTCTGCACGTGCCCTAGACCTAGCAGGGCAGCAGGGCTGTCCCCAGCTCCCGCGCAGAGAGGCACCTACCCGCAGGGGCTTGCAGTTCTCTTGGACGTATCTGCCATCCGATGTGTTCTCGTCCCACACCAGATTCCCGTTGTGGAAGTATTTTTGTTTCCTACAAGCAAGGGAGAGGGTTCAGTAAGGCAGGAAAGTCTAAACCCACAGAGGCAAAGCAGCAGCCCGCAGGCCGGGCTGGCGGTGTCGCCCCAGCCTCTGCACCTCTCCAGCCAAGTCTTCAGAAGGCATTTTATCCAAGGCCAGAAATAAGCAAAATCGTTACTCGAGAAAGCAAAAGCCAAGCCAGACTCCCCTCATTCCTGAAGGATGAAAGATTTTATCCATGTGCTTTAGAGTGATCAAAGAAGGAAAGTTACCAAGAAAGAACCACAGGACAGGGAGTTGTTTCCATGATCCAAAAAGGCCATGAGCAGGATAGGAGCGCAGCTCCTCTGCCTCCCTCCTAGTGCAAATTACTGCACCAAGAAACAAAACAATCCTGTTTGAGAAGGACCAAGAACTGCCTGAGAGGGCTTCTCAGCAGTAGCTGCCCATCTCCATGTAATTGCAGCCACAGCTCCCTTTAGGTTAAGCTCTCAGGCTTAAACACTGTAATCTTGGCTGTACATAAACTGCTCAATCGCTTCCCTTAGAGCCTGGGGTCAGGCTCACAGAAGAGGGAAAAAATGAAAATAAATAAGTAAAAGGCAAAAAGACACCCCATACCCTCTGCTACTCATTTCTAGACTCCACGAAGCCTCCCCAGGGTTATAACCACATCGCTAGGATGTTGTATGTGGACAGAGTGTTGCTATTCTGCCTGACCCACCAGCACTGCCAGTCGACTGGACTGTCACAACTCAGGAAGGTTCTCACCGGGTTTTGTAAATCATGTGCGATGGAATCGGCCCAAGGATTTTTTCCATCATGACAAGATGCTCACGATTCTCATGGGTCTGCAAAAGCAAAGAGCAAAGGTGTGTTACTTAGGTAAGAACCTGGAGATCCGGCAGCAAAAAGTTTGTGACCGTACAAGCRCGGGGTGAAATGGGATGAGTTTCAGTGAGGAATGACGCAAGTCCCTTCCAACTTCATCTGCTCTTCTGATTTTCTCAATTTCACAGGTACAGTGAAAAAAAACAAAAAGGTGAAAAAAAACCAAAAAGGGACCTGAACCTTGTCCTTGTCCAGAATCCTCAACCTGCAGGGTTTTCAGTGCTTAATTCAGCACATAGAATATCAGTTTCTGATTTTCAGCCCCCAGTCTGCATTTCCTTYCCCTCCAACCAAGAGTTGGCCTTTTTAGATATTAAAAGGGTGGTCGAAGGGTACAAAGCTTTTTGCAAGGGTCATACCTGGAAGAGTGTGAAGCCACGGTAATACTCAAACAAAATGCAGCCAGTACTCCACACATCACAGGGCTGTGCCCAGCCCAGCTCTGCAAAGAGAACAAAGCTTTGAGCTCCCAGCAAATCCCAACAGATTTCTCCTTTTTTTAGGGTTAGGACACAGGTAGAAGTGTTGGTTCATCCTGCAGGGCTTTACGCTGACACGTAGCCTCACAGGAAGCCCGTGCCGACCCCATGCTCCCCTGGTGTCAAGTCCACAAGTTGAGCATTTCATGAGTTTTACCAGCATTTCTCAGTCCTCAGGAAGGGCACATTTTTCCCAYGGATAATTTTAGTGCAGTCAGCACGTCCCTGGGACAACTATTCTCCTCCATCCGCCTAAAACGCCCCAAATCCTGGCACTACTCACCCAGGATGACTTCTGGTGGACGGTAGTGCCGGGTAGCCACAATAGTGGTGTGGTGCTCGTGGTCAAACGTGGCACTGCCAAAGTCTGCCACTCGGATGCTCGTGTTCCTTATGGATTTCTCCTCACAGCTCTGYAAAGAAACAGGTAGTGCTGAGTGCTTCCAATAACTGCTTCGGGATTCAGGTAGGCTCTGAGAACAGCCCCGGAGCTGCCGTGCCTACGTTAGTCATCACAAATACCAGATCTGTGAAACKCTGAGCTCTTTGCATCTTTGACCAGCACTAAGGAAAGCAGCTGAACGCAGCACTTCATTGACCAGAACCTCAGAGCTACCGGAAGACGTGAGAAAAGACCCAGGCTCTAGTCTGGTCTAACTAAATGGCCCACTGATGCTCCTCAGGGCATGTGCAGAGATCCAAATCGTGCCCGTAGAAAGAGGGAGGGTATTCCTGGGCTACTCACCTCTCTTGCGGACACAACCCACCTTTTTCTCATTGTACAATGTGTCAAAATCCGAGTTGACAAACAAGATGTTTTCTGGCTTGAGGTCAGTGTGAGTCAGCTGGTTGTCATGTAAAACTGAACAGGAAGGGAAGAGAAAGAGATTTATAAGGAAAAGATACCCCAAACCGTCTCTACAGTTCTGCCYGGCGAGCCAAGCAAAGGCCCCTCAGCCCCCTGCCAAACCAGCCCCTTCCAAACCACCCTGGTGAGCACCTAGCTAGGTATTTCTGACAGGCCCAAGGCACCCTTTGCAAAGGACAGCTTACAAGGCTTCCTTCCATTCCTCTCAGAAGGAAAAGGGAGATCTGARGTCTGCTGCTCCAGAACCCCTCCCTGATCTACCCTCCACAGACACCAGCATCTCACTTCTTTTTTTTTTAATAAGCTTAACACGAGGGTTAAAAACGGTCATTAGCTTCAGCTACTATTAATGCCTGTGCATAGAAAGCAGGTGCWGAAGGCCAGAGGGGTGCTGGGAAGCCCCAAGGGCATAACTTACATCTCAAGGCATGGCAGAGCTGGTAGGCCATGTGCCGAATCTGAGGGAGCGGGTACGGCTGGAAGTTGTTCTCCTTGAGGAACTCGAAGGTGTTCTTGCCGAGGAGCTCGAAGGCGATGCACATGTGGCCGTGGAAGTTGAACCAGTCCGACATGAGGACGCACAAGCTGCGCAGAGACACGAGCGGCGTGAGCGGGGCCCCGCGGAGCGGCCGGCGAGCGCGCGCAGGAGGCGCCTCCCCCAGCTCYAACACCTGTATTCACACATCTCCAACACAACACATGGAGGCAGCAAGCTCTGCTCGGAACTGGGTTAGCTCACCCTTACTGGGAACCGTCGTGACAGCCGTTACAGGCACACATGCAAACGCTCAGCAGGATGGCCAAAGCCGGTGCCACACGAGGCCTGTGTCTAGAAGGCAGTAATCACCACCCTGAAGCCCCTGCAGGAACTTACAATTTGTTCTCCTTGTCCTTCTCTTTGATTTTCTTCAGGACGTTGATCTCCAGCCTGGCCGCTTCGCGGTACTTCCCAACGTTCTTTATGATTTTCAGCGCCACCTGAGATTTGCCTCTGTAAGGGAAGAGACAGGGGGCTGAAGTCAAATAAAAAGCCAAGATCACATCCGCAGACACATCCTCGCCCCACTGAGAGTGCACGTCCTGGAACACGTGCCTAAGAGTAACTGGGACCGAGAGGCCTGCAGTGTCACGTCCCCACCGCCTTCCTCTAGGTGAGTGATGGCCCTTCAGGGAGGCCTCTGAGCAAGCACGTGGCGATCACSAACTGCCACCAGTGAGAAAGAGCATCAGCAGAGGGAGGAGGAGATGTTCGGCACGCTTGGGATAGGCGCGTGATAGCGGCGCGGGGAAAAAGTAGTCAGGTCAGCGGGTAACAGTTGGGAGGACTGGACGTTCCGAACCTTGTCCGGCAGCTAAATACTGAAATCTGAAGTGAAAGGCCATTATCGCTCAGTGTCATTCCTAGGAGAGCTGCAAAAAGCCCTGCAAAGGCACCGTGTCCCGACGCAGCAGCTGCTAAGGTCACTGTGACTCCAGCAGACATCTCCTCTCTCCAACTGTGCCAAAGAGATTTCTGACGACGCGGGAAGATCTCGCCCTAGGCTTATCCCGGTGCTCAGGGCCAGACGGAAGGTCAGGAAGAGCAAAGGGTGAAATGTAATCGCAGCAGAGGAGAAAAAAATAAATAAATAGCGCCCAGGCGGGTTGGGAGGTCACTTTCCCCAGCTGGCTCCAGGCCTCTGCCAAAACGCACTGCTCTGCAGCGGGGCAGCAGCACAGCCCTGCTTGGGCGAGCGTATCAGCTGGCAAACCCGCGCGGCCGAGCTGCAAACACGGCCCCTCTCCTTGCTAAGAGCAGTAACTTGCACTGCGGGGCCGGTGGAGCTGGGCTGGACCYCCAGGGCCGCGCGGAAGCGGGGAGCGGACCTACCTGGCGTGGTCCACGCACTCCACCACCTTGCCAAAAGTGCCTTCGCCCAGGCTGCCGACGATCTCGTCTAGGAGAGAAAACAGGCGCGGGCGTGAGCCGCAAGGGCTGCCGAGGCCGCGCTCCTGCACTCGCACTGCGGTAAAGCCTCAAACAACAAAACCGTCTCTCGCTGCTACGCTCTTTAAAACCCAAGTCTATTGTCTGCCTGAGGCAAAATTCCCGGTCAGTCGGTTTATAAGCAATAAAGACTAGAGACCCCGCTGGGAGACAAAGTAAAGAGCGAGATCTCGTCTAACACGGGGATAGAAAGTAGAGAGGTAAAGTTTTACGCAAGGTGGCTGTACATCGCTCTTGGAGCCAATCGCCGGTCCTGCACACCAGGTGGCCTTCCTTGTCATCCTCCACGCTCCTGCTGCGCTTACTGCTCGGCGGGCTCCTCTGCACGCGCCGCCCGCGGAGCGCGCGCCGCGGGTCCGGCAAGGGCGCAGGCGACGGGTTTTCCAGATGCCGGCATTTCATAAGGCACACAGCATATATAACGATAGGGATATTGCAAGGGACACGTCAAGACACAAACCGACTTCAAAACAGAAAAGTCATCAACAGCTACAGGTACGTAAAGAAAACTCTCTCATTAGCTACAGCGCCTGGCGCAGCAGGAAAACGCCCCCCTCTTCTCCGCAGGGAGGCCGCAGCYGGGAAGCTCCAGGCACTGCTTTGGCGCTGAGATTCCCCACGGAATTTGCCATCGAGGAGCGGCTTCCTCTCTAGCACCAGAGGATGCTAGGGGAGGAACGAGTCAGGAAGAGCATGGGCTTTGCCAGAAGCAGTTCGCTTTCTCTGCTGGCAGATGGCATAGTGGGTAGAGAGGCTCTCGGTTCGGCCAAGCTGTCCAGTAGAAGCCAGAGCAGCAGCTCTCCCAGTGCGGAGCCTGCTCCACAGGGACGTCTTCCCTTCCTCGCGGGACCCCCCAGGCTGGCGCGGCCTCCGTGAGCCTGAATGGCTGCAGACAGCCCTAGCACTGCATGTCTTGCTGGGGATGCAAATTTAAGCCTAGAAGAACTTTAGGAGCAGGACAGAGCGCTCTGCTCGTATCTTCCCGCGCCTGCTGAAAGCAGGAAGTCACCTTCGCCCTCGCCACTACCAGCTTCTACTGGAAAACCAGCCGAACGTTCCCAGGAGGATGCAGGGGCCACGAAGCAAAGGGCCCGAAACCTGAGCGTTGCTACTTACCCTTAAAATAAAGTTCCAGCCCCGGCAGCCAAAGAAACGCTAAGGCGGCTGTGCACTGAGGCGCCCGAGCCCCTGAGCACCCCGCACCCCCTGCCCGTCCAAAACAGTGACCAACCAGCGAGCCTGCAAGGCTGGCTGGAAGGGAGGAGAAGGCAGAAAGAACAGTGGAGGGCTGGGAGACCTCGGGGGGCTCAGACCGCGCTGGGCGCAGCCTGCACGCTGCACCAGCACACACACACACACACGGTTGGAGGGTCCCATCGCAGCCTTGCCTTTCTCTCAACTGGGAGAGCCAACCAGAAGGATAAAATGAGGAAAGCCACAGGCCATGAGAAGTTCCAAGCCATGCAGCTACACGGGATACCTGCAGGGATCAGGACTCGGCCGCCTGGCTGTGGGAACAGCCCCGAACGATGGGTCGGGCAGGACAGGAGCCTCCGCTCCTTACGCGGCGAGAAGCAGCGAAGCAGAGACCTTGGCCCTGGCACCTGCGGTGCCTCGGGGCACGCCAGCTCCTGGGACGAGCCTGCCCACCCCSCAACCATCCCTGCTCCTCCTCCAAATATCTAAGGCAAGGGATAGCACGCTGTGTTGTGATCAGAGGGGAGAACCCTGAGGTTTTCGAGGACGCTGAGGCGCGAGGGCGCTCGCGTGGCAGCAGGCAGAGAGGACGGGTGTGTTCTCAGAGGTGAAAAACACTGCGGGCCGGGACGCGGCCGGGATGCGGCAGAGCGAGCCCTGACGCAGCTGGTCCATCCCCCAGGGCCTCGGCCTCCGCAGGAGCGGCCGGCGCTGCCGCTGCGCCCCGAGCCCCCAGGTGCAGGATTGAAACCCTTGCCGCGCGTGAACCTTCCACGCACAGACGCGTCCAGCCTAGCGGGACTCGGGAGCACACAAGCCACGTCAGCGAACACGAGAACGGCACGAGAGCTACTCACCCAGGGCGCCGGCAGCTGCAAGGAGGCAAGGAGCAATTAAAAGGCCTGCGCGAGGGGCAGCCCGTTCCGGCGGCTACTCACCGAGGAGGCGCTGCTGCACGAGCGGGTCCTGCGCCGGCGCCAGCGCTGCTCCCGCGGCCCCCGGCCCTGCCACCGCCGCCAGCAGCGCGCGCGGCTCCCGGCGCCGTCCTCGCCGAGCGACGGGCTCCGCTCCTCGAAGCCGCACGCCTCGCTGTCCCGACGGGCTCTGTAGCGCGGCTGGTAGGGCGGCCTGTCGGGGCTGCGGGGCGAAGGGACACAGAACAAGGCGCTTTTCGAGGCGGGAGAGCGGGCAAGGCGAGCGGGGCGCCGCRGAGGGGAGAGCTCTCCCTCACGTAAAAGACACACAGAAGAATCCTCGGGGAGTTCCCCATTTCAGGGAGCCTGGGGAGAACTGCCCACGCGTTCAGAGCTAAACTGGAGCCCCTGCCTTTTTGGAGCCAACTCCACCCCGACACGGGGGTGTTTTCCGAACAGGACTTCTCCTCCCGCGGGAAGGCAGCGCCGCTAGTGAGGCGAGAAGATGAGGCAGGAGCGAAGCGGGTGCTGCAGGAGGGCACCAGTCACGGCGCTGGGGGCCCCGGCGCCCCCCGCACGCCCCGACCACCCCGCGGAGCATCAGCACAAGCCACGCGGGCAGCGATGCCAAGCCGGGCCTTGCTTGGAGCGGCCCCAGCACCTCGGGGCAGCTTTGGAGCAGCTGCAGGCGCCGCGCGCACCAGAGCTGCGCAGCAGGGACTGCCCCCCGGCAGGGCAGGGCAGGGGGGTCCCCCCTGCAGGGGGGCAAGGGACAAACTGGAAAACGGGCAGCGCTGCCCCCAGGCCGTGCTGCCCCCCAGGCGCCTTCGTGCCCCCTCGGCGGCAGCTTTCAGGAGCAACGGGGCGAGCCGAGGGCTCCCACCAGCCCGCCGGGAGGGACGCGGCCCGGCTCCG